TCCCTGGTGGTGCAGTGGTTGAGAGTCCACCTGCCGATGCAGGGGACATGGGTTCGCACCCTGGTCTGGGAGGATCCCACACGCCACGGAGCGGCTGGGCCCTTGAGCCATGGCCGCTGAGCCTGCGCGTCCGGAGCCTGTGCTCCGCAGCGGGAGAGGCCACAGCAGTGAGAGGCCCGCGTACCGCAAAAAATAAATAAATAAATAAATAAAATCATGCTTTGTTTAGAAGATGGACCAGAGCTGCGGCTGGTGGGTGGTTCTGGACGGTGCTCAGGACACCTGGAGATCCTCCATGAGGGGCCTGGGGCACCGTGTGTGACCACCTATGGGACCTGAACGAAGCTGAGGTCGTGTGCCGACAGCTGGGGTATGGAAGGGCCGTCGCTGCCCCTGGAAAGGCCCACTTTGGCCTGGGCTCTGGAGACATCCTCCTGGACAACATTCAGTGTTCGGGAAGCGAGAACCACCTTGGCCGGTGCCCCAGCTCCGGCTGGTAGACCACAATTGTGGTCACCACGAGGATGGTGTTCATCTGCTCAGGTACCTCTCCTCCTGCGGCAGGTTCTTTCTGGTCTTTCAGCATCTCGGGTGGAAGGTGTGCACAGAGCAGGGCCAGGTGACCAGACGGATGAACGTCCCTTCAGCCGGGCTGGCAGAGAATGCTGAGAGCCATGCTGTCTTTGGAACACGCACTCCAGGTCCACACAATTTTCTGGTCCTGTTCCCTGCAGCCTCTCTCAGGTCTGGAACTGCTTCTCCAGAGTCTGAACATGCCCGGTTCTTGCTCGTGTAAGACGAAGCCTGCCTGTTGGGGACTTGCCCACACTAGAAAGCTACCACTTGTCTTTATAAAATTTAACTTAGATTTCCTAAATTTACCTCTTTTTAATGCATGCAGATGCAGGGGACTGGGTTCCAGATGTGATCCCTGCACCCCCAGGTAGGTCTGACACTGAACCCATTATCTCTGCAAAGTGAATAAGAAATTTAACCTTGGGACTTCCCTGGTGGTGCAGTGGTTAAGAATCCACCTGCCAATGCAGGGGACATGGGTTCGATCCCTGGTCTGGGAAGATCCCACATGCCGTGGAGTAGCTAAGCCCGTGCGCCACAGCTACTGAGCCTGCGCTCTAGAGCCCGCGAGCCACAACTACTGAGCCCATGTGCCACAACTACTGAAGCCTGCGCGCCTAGAGCCCGTGCTCCACAACAAGAGAAACCACCGCAATGAGAAGCCCGCGTACCGCAACGAAGAGTAGCCCCCGCTCGCCGCAACTAGAGAAAGCCCGTGTGTAGCAATGAAGACCCAATGCAGCCAAAAATAAATAAATAAATTTACGTTAAAAAAAAAAAGAAAGAAATCTAACCTCTGTCTGGACCCCAGCACAGGTGGACAGTGACGTAGACACTGGAATCACCCAGAGAGCTTTAAAAACTTCCGATGCTCAAGCTGCACCCCAGACCAGTCACATCAGCACTTCTGGGGTCACAGCCAGTCATCAGTGACATTTAAAGCTTCCTGTGTGATTCCAGCATGCAGCCAAGGCTGAGAACCAGGGGCATGGTCAACGAGCTAAAAGTCACATTTCCCAAATGAAATGGCATCTGAAGCTCTCCTCTCTGGACAACAGATCACAGAGCGGCAGGAGGGGACTGAAAGAGGATGGTTCCATCACAGTGGCTGAGAAGAGGGTTGATACAGAGAGGAAGGAGGAAAGGTTTACCTCTCAGGGATACGAATTAGAGAGTGAAAGCATGCAAGTAAACAAAGAAACACTGAATGTCGAACTCTCCCAGTGGGTAGAAAGCAGACTGGGGAAGAGAAAACATTTGGGGCTCCTCTGTGGGCCTCCTGGCTTAGCCAGCAGAGCAGGAATAGAGAAAGGTACACCTTCAGGTAACCTACTCAAAATCGATGTGCAGCAGTGACCTCCTAACTCAGATTCCCGCTGGATCAGAGCACCTACGGTCCTACCTCCTGCATCTGCCTGCCTCTCCAGGACAAGTTCTCAGCCGCTTGCTTCCCTGCTCACTGGCACCCTGGGCCCCACACACCCTCCTCCCAGCCTTACCCAGTGACTGGTGCCACTCTCTGCCCTCAGTGGGGGCCTGGGTCGGGGAAAGTCGGGGTCAGGGGTGCTCCTTGCAGTGTTTGGGGGCCAGGCGAGGTGGCTAGCAGCTGTCCCTACCTTGGGCTGGCACCACTATGGTGCATTTGGAGGGACATGCATTGGGAGCCTCTTACCCACTCCAGTCCAGGTTCCGAGGGCGTCCCAGGTGGAAGTTGCCACCCCTTGTAGGTTGCCCTTCTGGTGCGGGTTGCAGAGGCAGAACTATGGGAAGGGGCCCGTCTTACTTCATTGGAATACTTGTCCAACCTACCTTTCCCCACCATGGCTCTCAGCTTTCCAGGTTTGAAAGCTGCATTGTCCCTCTGCATTTTGGCACCTGATAAATTTCTACAGGCACTGTGGCATGTTCATAAGCCCAGATGTTACTGTAGGTGATGCCTCATGACTGGTCAGTCTCAGGACAGCCCTTGGGTTGGTGGACCCCAGCACAGAAGAGAAAACAAATCATGTGACTGTGCATTGTCTGTGATTTCCTGGTGAATCACTGAAAGAAGGGGAGAGGTTGCATCTCAGATCAGGGAGAAAAGAGGAATGAGTGTGTCCACACCATATATTAAGATTCAAGAGTAGTAGCAGCTTCATTCATTTGTACCTAGGTATTGATATAAGGTGATGTTATTGTGCCAAGCTTTTTCCTGATTTTTTTTGGTTCTGATTTTTGCAGCTGCCATTCCCCAAGCACCTACCCCACAAGGTAACTCTCTTCCACTGAAAGTATAATCTATAAAGGGTGGAATAATGGTGATAATTCATAAAAGTAGAATGGACGTCTGCTGTCCTGCCTACATGAGGGGAAGGAAGTGGTGGGACGGAGCCCTCACAAGTAGATGGATTGTCTGCATCTTAGTTGGGCTGGTTTGCATGACAGGAAGCTGGGGAGAGCATTAGGGACACCCCACACCTGCCATGTACATATCCAATCCATTTCCAGTCTCACCTACAGTCTTAGGGTCCTGCCTACCTGTCATACATCTTTCCTCCTCCCTCACTCCCTCTCAGGGTACAGCCACACACCAGCCAAGCCACAACCATGTCTACACCAGCAGGATCCCTTCCCGTTTTGTGATTCACTTTTGAGCTTGCTGGAATTCTGGATTCTGTACTCGGGAAAATGCAAGTTGCACGCCTAAAGAATCCAGCCCCGGCTCTCTCGTTTGTTTTCACAGGAGGAAGTCACTTTTGTGGGGGAGTCATTTCAAGTCTGTCAGGCTCCTTCTCCAGGCAGAGTGTATAACCACAAAATCATTTTTGTAGGTACATTTAACAATGTAACATGTCCCAAAGCAAGATCCCTATGCTATTCATCTATTCTTTCACATCCCTGTTTAGACACATGCCAGAAAAACCCAAAACCAAAATACTTGATATTTTTGGAGGTTGAATTCATTCAAACCACCTGCATGATGCTAAATAACCACTTCACACCTGCATGATGCTAAATAACCTCTTCAACTCCATGCTTCACATTTTGTCTCTCTGGTTGTGCAGACCATGGTCTTTCTTATCCCTTTTGCTCTAAACATTCTAGTTTTTGTCTCAGAGGTTTCTGCCCCAGAAACCATGCTGGAGCCCCCCGGGTGTCTGGGAGGACAGCAGGCTCCAGGCATTTCCAGGCCAGCAGGGAGAACCCTGCAGCTGTCCTCTCTAGCCCTGGCTGGCCCAGCTCCCCCTGCAAACCTCATGTGCTGACCACAGCGCTGGGGCCGGAGGACACAGCAGTCAGGAACCCCCTGCAGCGGTGACCAGCCCCAGGCCACCTATGGGAAAAACACCACTATAAAAAGGTCCTGTATCTGATTTCAGAGTCAGTGAAGGAGCAACCTTTTAGGTGCTGAGGACACAGCAGCCAACAAGACCAACAGGGCCACAGCTCCATGGCTCTTAGGTTCGAGAGAAGGAAGAGAGGCACTGGATAAACACACAAATGAGAGTCCTTTATAGTGCAAAGGGTTAAGAAGATAATCAAACAAGGAAGAGGCTAGAAAATGCTTTGGGGTGCCACTTTGAATAGGGTGGTCAAAGAGCCCAGGCCTGAACAAGGAGCTGGAGCCAAGTACAGAGGAACAAAGGCTCCAGGCAGGGGGTCAGCCAGTGCAGAGCCCCCAAGGCGACAGCCAGCTTGGAGAGCTCGAGGGAGAGACTCAGGCCCAGCAGCCACGGTTGGAAGTTCAGTTGGAAGTGGTCAGGGCCATGTGGTCCTGGAGTTTAGCTTTCCTTCTAAGCTGTGTCCTCTCAACAAGGGTGACATCCCCTTCAAGGGGGAAGAGAGATATTGGTTCTTAGAAGCAAAATAAGGAAAACAAGGCAGATCAGTGAGAAACACTGCTGTAAGCTGACAGGGCAGTCCTTGGAGGGTTTCAAGGCAGACTGTCACTGGATCTGAGTTGCACAGGCCAACGCTTCCTTGAACAAACGTCCCTGGGCAGAGTGAGTCTCTGGCGACCCACCAGGCTACAGGATGGAGGCTGCCAGAGGCAGTGGCCCCTGCTCATCAGCCTTCAGCACCCCCTCGGCCCCTTCAAGTCATGTTGGATTTAAAGGAACATGGCTGAGCGCGAAGGTCAGCAGGGCCAGGCCCACAGCTCACAGGGAGCCAGGGCTGACCTGGGGTCAAGAGCAGGGAGGAGCAGTGGAAGAATCCAGCAGCCAGCGTGGACCTCCCACCCCACTTCACATCCCACAGCCTGGCCCTCACAGGAGGGAAGACGGGAGTCCAGACTCACACACTAGGGGCTCGCTGGATGTACCCCAAACTCCCAAAAACAAGGATATAAGGTCACCCATCACGGCCTTAGGTACCTGCAAGGTCATGCCCGAGGCCTCATGCCCTCCAGCTTCTCAGCAAACTGGCTCCAAGTGGGGGGCATGAAGCAGAGGTCTCTGCTCATGAAGAAAGTACTTGTCAGGGAGCCAGGAGCACTGGCCACCAACCTGCCTCTCTCCTCCCAGGAAAGCCTCGGCTCTCTCAGCTACTCCAACTCCATCAGAGGCCAGACACAGGGTCACCCTGGCCAAGTCACTGTACGGCACAAGGTGCCTCAGTTCAAGTTCACCTGCAAGGTGGATGGCCCGTTAGCAGTTGAAATTGTCCCTGGGGCTGACGTCCCAAGGGAGAATGCCAGCTACGATGTGTCCATATCATTTCTCGAGTTGCCCACGTCCCAGCATGTGGGGAGCATGGGGCCGCACTACGCCAGCCAGAGGAAAGAGGTCTTCCTCCAGGTCACACTCCATAGCCCCAATCCCTGCCTGCGGCTCTTTGTGGATACCTGTGTGGCTTCTCCAGATCCTGGTGATTTTACAACTCTCAAGTATGATTTGATCCGACAAGGGTAAGGAAAATAGAAGGCTCTCGCTGGTTGACTATTATATTTACGTGGCATTCTTTTGGGGACCTGTGGCTTCTTAACTGGTAGTCCTAAATCATAACACTGTGCAGAGAGTCCTCATCATGCCCCAGAAGCAGAGCCCGGGCGCTCACCATCCCTCTCATTCTAGTTGGGGACAAATAATCATAGGAAGTCTAGACAACTTCCCTTGAATCCCCAAAGAGTCCTGGGCAGAACCCTCGCTGTCTCAGACTCTGCTGTCTCATCCCAGCCTTTCATACCCATGCCCCCCTTCTCTTTAAGTTTTATAACTGTATTACACTCCCCATTCCTCAGGATATTTGGCCTACACTGATGGGCTGGTGGGTTACCCCAGGCTAGGCTCTTACAGTGATGAGATTTATTCTGGTGCCTTTGGTTAAACAAAGGATTTGCCAAGTTAGAACTCTGACAAGTTGTTTACCTTTATAGCTCCCATGTCCCCCAACCAAGGCAAAATGCTTATGGATGGGTAATTGGCAACCAGTGTGAAGATAACAAAAACCATCACTTACTGATGGCAGCTGCAGAGTAGTGAGAGCCACAGCAGCCTAAAGCCCGTGAGAAGCATCGTGGTGCCTGTTTCCAAAAAGCCAGTGAGGGGCAAGAGGCAGCACCTTCCAGAGGCAGTGTGAGCCACGGTGCAGGAGGTGCACAGATGTGGCACTAAACTGCACTGAGTCAGAGTGAGAAAGCTCTTCCCTTTTCAATTCTCCCTTTTCAAAATATATCAAGGAGAGGGAGTTCCCTGGAGGTCCAGTTGTTAAGAATCAGCACTTTCACTGCCATGGCCCAGGTTCAACCCCTGGTCAGGAAACTAAGATCCTGCAAGCCATGTGGCACAGCCAAAAAAATATTATATACATATAGGAGAGAGGCTGGAATTTAACAACTGACATACTTTTCTTCTGCTTATTTTAGGTTTAATTTGCTCTCCTTTCTCTAGTTTCCTAAGGTGGAAGCTTAGATTATTGATTTTAGATCTTTCTTCTTTCAAATGCATTAACTTAATGCTATAAATCTCCCTCTACACATTGCTTTAGCTGCATCCCACAAATTCTGGTAAATTGTATATTCATTTTCACTTCGTTTGAAAGATTTAATTTCTCTTGAGACTTTTTCTTTGATCTTTGGGTTACCTGGTGTTGTTTAATTTCCAAATATTTAGGAATTTTCCAGCAACCTTTCTGTTATTGATTTCTAGATTAATCCCAAAGTGACCTGAAGATGTATTTTCTGTGATTCCTATTCTTTTAAATTTGTTATGGTGTTTTTTTATGGTCCAGAATGTAGTCTATCTTGGTGAATGTTCCATGTGGGCTAGAGAAGAATGTGTATTATGCTGTTGTTGAAGTGTTCTATAAATGTCAATTAGGTCTAGCTGATTGTTGGTGCTGTTTGGGTCATCTGTATCTTTCCTGATTTTCTGCCTGCTGGATCTGTCAATTAGTGACAGAATGGTGTTAAAGTCTCCAACTATAATAATGGATTTGTCAATTTCTCTTTGCAGTTCTATCAGTTTTTGCCTCATATATTTTGATGTTTTATTGTTTGCCACATATACATTAAGGATTGCCACATCTCCTTGGAGAACTGATCCCCCTTCATCATTATGTAATGCCCCTCTTCATCTCTAATAATTATCCTAGCTCTGAAGACTGTTATGTCTGAAATTAATGTAGCTAATCCAGCTTTCTTTTGATTGGTATTAGCATGGTAAATCTTTCTCTATCCCTGTACTGTTAATTAATCTTTATCTTTATATTTAAAGTGGGTTTCTTATAGCTAGCATATAGTTGGATCTTGGTTTCATTTTATCTACTCTGGCAGTCTCTGTCTTTCAACTGGTATATTTAGTCCATGCATGTTTAAAGTGACTATTGATATAGCTGGATTAAAATCTACCATCTTAGTAACTGTTTTTTACCTGTTGCATTTGTTCTTTGTTTCTCCCCCCACTCTACTTTTGCTGCCTTCTCTGGTTTCTGGGTTTTTTTTGGCTGCATTAGGTCTTCGTTGCTGTGTGTGGGTTTTCTCTAGTTGCAGTGAGTGGGGGCCACTCTTCATTGTGCTGCGCGGGCTTCTCATTGTGGTGGCTTCTCTCGTTGCAGAGCACAGGCTCTATTCATTTTCACTTCGTTTGAAAGATTTAATTTCTCTTGAGACTTTTTCTTTGATCTTTGGGTTACCTGGTGTTGTTTAATTTCCAAATATTTAGGAATTTTCCAGCAACCTTTCTGTTATTGATTTCTAGATTAATCCCAAAGTGACCTGAAGATGTATTTTCTGTGATTCCTATTCTTTTAAATTTGTTATGGTGTTTTTTTATGGTCCAGAATGTAGTCTATCTTGGTGAATGTTCCATGTGGGCTAGAGAAGAATGTGTATTATGCTGTTGTTGAAGTGTTCTATAAATGTCAATTAGGTCTAGCTGATTGTTGGTGCTGTTTGGGTCATCTGTATCTTTCCTGATTTTCTGCCTGCTGGATCTGTCAATTAGTGACAGAATGGTGTTAAAGTCTCCAACTATAATAATGGATTTGTCAATTTCTCTTTGCAGTTCTATCAGTTTTTGCCTCATATATTTTGATGTTTTATTGTTTGCCACATATACATTAAGGATTGCCACATCTCCTTGGAGAACTGATCCCCCTTCATCATTATGTAATGCCCCTCTTCATCTCTAATAATTATCCTAGCTCTGAAGACTGTTATGTCTGAAATTAATGTAGCTAATCCAGCTTTCTTTTGATTGGTATTAGCATGGTAAATCTTTCTCTATCCCTGTACTGTTAATTAATCTTTATCTTTATATTTAAAGTGGGTTTCTTATAGCTAGCATATAGTTGGATCTTGGTTTCATTTTATCTACTCTGGCAGTCTCTGTCTTTCAACTGGTATATTTAGTCCATGCATGTTTAAAGTGACTATTGATATAGCTGGATTAAAATCTACCATCTTAGTAACTGTTTTTTACCTGTTGCATTTGTTCTTTGTTTCTCCCCCCACTCTACTTTTGCTGCCTTCTCTGGTTTCTGGGTTTTTTTTGGCTGCATTAGGTCTTCGTTGCTGTGTGTGGGTTTTCTCTAGTTGCAGTGAGTGGGGGCCACTCTTCATTGTGCTGCGCGGGCTTCTCATTGTGGTGGCTTCTCTCGTTGCAGAGCACAGGCTCTAGGCACACAGGCTCAGTAGTTGTGGCTCACGGGCTCTAGAGCACAGGCTCAGTAGTTGTGGCACACGGGCTTAGCTGCTTTGCAGCATGTGGGATCTTCCTGGACCAGGGATTGAACCCGTGTCCCCTGCATTGGCAGGCGGATTCCCAACCACCGCACCACCAGGGAAGTCCCTTCTCTGGTTTTAATACAACATTTTATATGCTGGTTTTAACTGAGCATTTTATATTATTCCATTTCATCTCCTCTCTTGATATATCATTTACTTCTTTCCTTAAGTTTTTCAGTAGGTGCACTAGGGTTTACAAAATACATCTTAAAATAATTGAAGTTCACCTTCAAATAATGCAGCCACCACCTTTAATCTCCCCTTTTGAAAAAAGTAGAGCAGGAAACAGCTCTAGCTATAATTTAATTACTTTGTCTTGTTTTTTTTTTGTTTTTTGTTTTTTTTTTTTGCGGTACGCGGGCCTCTCACTGTTGTGGCCTCTCCCGTAGTGGCGCACAGGCTCTGGACGCGCAGGCTCAGCGGCCATGGCTCACGGGCCCAACCGCTCCGCAGCATGTGGGATCTTCCCGGATCGGGACACGAACCCGTGTCCCCTGCATCGGCAGGTAGACTCTCAACCACTGTGCCACCAGGGAAGCCCACTTTGTCTTGTTTTTATTTTATTTCACAGTTCCCTTCTGTTTCTGGCCAAGAATGGTGGTTTGGCCAGGAATGGTGGTTTTTCCCCTCATGGTAGTATCATAAAGTTTTTTAATAAACGAAAGGATGAGTGGGTTGTGGGGAGAACTCCAGTTGAAATTCAAAGGTCTGTGTCCAAGCCTGATTATTTGAGCCAGAATTAATTCACACCATGCTTTAAGTCAATCCTCTTGGCCTGGGGTTTTTCTTGCCATCAGGTGCATCAAAGACAATACTTATGCCAACCTCCACTCCCGACAGAAGAACATAGCCCAGTTCAAGTTCAACGTCTTCAGCTTTCTCACCAGCTATGATGTGATCTATCTGCAGTGTAAAGTTGCCATGTGCAAAGTGGGGGATCACGCCTCCCGCTGCTCCCAGGGCTGTGCAGGGCAGAGTAAGAGGGGCACAGGCCCCACGGAGGCCACAGTAGAGCACACTGAGTATTTCCAAATGGTGGGGCCACTGGAGATCCACAAAGGAACTGATCGAAGAAAGACCCTTGTGTGATTTCTCCAAGTTTCACGTCAATCTGTTAGAAATTAGAAGTAAATTCTATTTCTGCTCAGCAAAATAGTAAGTTTGACAAATCTGAGGTTGTCCACATAGAGACAGGCAAAAGAAATAGCTAAAGAGGTTCTCTCTGAGGTTTGTTGCTAAGTAAGTCTCCTTCTCTGATTATTCAACTTCTAAGGCAGTCGCTCTCTTTGCAGCTAGAAGTCTTGCATTTTATAATTCTTCACTATCAAGAACTTGATCACTGTCTTAAACAGTGCAACATATTATAAAGAAAAGTTATCTCTTGATACCACATTGCCAACTTAAAGATATCTTTGACTCCTTAATGTTTAGATGCTAGTAGGTGTATCTTTTTGTTTCTGTCCCTCTGATGGTGTGAGAATTTATTTTCAGATCTTGCCAAGGGTCTTGTGAAGAATAAACTAAGTGTCTGTCAGAAAGTCGCTGTTTTTTTTTTTTCTTTAAACTACAATAATTGGTCAGTTGAATCAGATGTCATTTACTCAAAACAAGCTTTATTTGTCTGTTTCAAAGGGAACAAATTGGACCTTGGCTTTGTTGAGTTTGGGTTAAGCTTGCAAATGAGAGCCTTAACGACAATCACGACAACCCCTCAGGACTGCTCTGTGAGCTACCACACACTTAGTCTGTTTCCCAGATCTTCAAAGCATTACAGGAAACCTGAAAAGCACGCAGAGAAAGATTAGCATATTTCCACACGCTCCCAGAAAAGAAGGGCAGCACCTACTTAATCTAATCTCTTTTTATACCTTAACAGAAAGAGGCCTGCACTAGGCTCAGTACCCTCAAAGTTGTCTTTAAAGAAACAGACTTGGACACAGCCAGAATTTTTTGTTTTTGTTTTTCAATAAATATTCAGTAATTACATTAATGCATATATGTGGAATCTGAAAAAACTGGTATAGACGATCTTATTTACAAAGGAGAAATAGAGACACAGACGTAGAGAATAAACGTATGGATATCAAAGACGTAGAGAATAAACGTATGGATATCAAAGAGGAAGGGGGGTGGGGGGGTGGGATGAACTGGGAGATTGGGATTGACATATATACACTATTGATACTATGTATAAAACAGATAACTAATGAGAACCTACTGTATGGCACAGGGAACTCTACTCAGTGCTCTGTAATGATCTAAATGGGAAGGCAATCCAAAAAAGAAGGGACATATGTATACATATAGCTGATTCACTTTGCTGTACAGTAGAAACTAACACAACATTGTAAAGCAACTATACTCCAATAAAAATTTTTTAGAAATATTCAGTAACAATATTTAAAATATGAGCCCTCAAGTCCAGGGTATCGTTCCCATCTTTGTCAATAAATAGCATGTGTGAGATGAGAATACAGTATTGTCAAGTCCCCCAGGGAGGAGGCATGGTTTGGTGGGGCCTGGGAGTGAACCCCAAATTCCTGAGAGGTGAAAATCTGACAAGTGACCCAAGGAGGGACATTGCCTCTAAAGGGAGACATGTCAGTTTGATTACAAACATGCCCTTCACCAACAACTGTCTTGGTAAAAGTAAGT